TACAAGAAGTTATGACCAAATTACCAAAGGCTGGCCGAGGATTGCGCGGATGCGAAGCATCCGAGAAAGCATCAAAAAAGAGGAGCTGGCAGTGAAGTGCTGCCAAAGCATCCGGGTCAGCATCTGAGCTCCTGAGAGGAGTGAAGTGGGGATGCAAAGCATCCGAGGTAGCATTCAAAATCTGGGCTTATAAACACAATTTCAGGTTTCATTTTCTCCCATTTCTTTTGGACGACTCTTAGGGTCTTCCTCCACTCTCTCAAGACCTCCAGCCCCTCTCATCTTCAAGGTAAGTAATCTCCATTAACTTGGTGTAAAATTCCATCATTCCTACACTATTATTGATGAAATCTACTCATAAAACACATAGATAGTCAAGAAATTCCTTCAAGAACTCAAAGGAGGGTTTGCAAGATTTCTTCCAAAAGGTAAATCCTATACCCTTAGACTTTCATTTATGGTTATATTATGGGAATATGTGTATGGATTAAGTATTTGAACTCTTGGTGTGGTGATTGGAAGCCATAAGTTCCCAATATAAATACATAATTATGGTAGAGATTGAAAGGTGATTATTTGATAAGATTTGTTGGTTGGGTGTGAATGGATGGCCATACATATGTTGTTGGAAGTTACAAATTGGTTAGGAATGATGGTGGAATAAATTGTTGGTTAATGGTGGTAGTTGGATGAACCAATACTATAGTTATGAGGTGTAAAGATCTATACCTACAAGGGGTTTGATAATATGCCTAAATGGCATAAGTTATGGAATTTATTACTAATATTGGCCCTATTGAATGTTGTATTGTAGATTGAAGTTGCTTAAGTGTATTGGATCATTGTAGTATCATTAAGGGGCAAATTTCAGGTATGTATGGCTAAAACCCCGTCTTTTAGAAATCGAGCTTCATCGATGTTTGTGTGAATGTGGTAAGATTAAAGTTGAAATGTTGCATCGATTGTTATTTTACATGAATTGGTGTTGTAACCTTATATGCGTGAAAGTTGTGTTCTCAACATGATCAACGTGCTATCTTGATAACTTGAAAGGGGCACAAGATATGAATTAGGTTTTGAAATACTTAGACCTTAAATTGAGATTGAAGCTGCATATAATGTGCCATCTATGTGAAGTCTTATCTATGCTCACAATAAAAATTGCTCTTGTGTGCACCTACTCTCCTAAATGGCAAATCTAACATTGAAATTGGGAATGATGTGAAATGAGCCTTGACTCTGGTTTCCATAAATGACTTCAATGATAAAGTGCCCTAAAGGATTTGTACACAATTTATGCCCATAAGCGGTTGTTCGAGATAATATTTTGCCTTATAAGTTCCATTGCTAATAAACTTGAGGTGTATGATTTCCGAAATATTGTATATGCCCATAATTCACGATTTCTCTCATGTGTACTTAACATCTTGGGTTGAATGGCTTGATGTTGAAATTGATATTGATGTGAAATGTGGGGGAAAAGAGTTTGAACTATGAAATGTGGCCTAGTGCCAAGTATGATGCGGAAATTGTGGCCCCAAGTGCCGGTAAACTAATACATGTGTAACCAAAGATTGGAGTGAGAGGAATAATGAAAAATGGTAACGTCTCGGGGAGGCGGCTTAGCCGATCGGGCCATGATCGGATGCCATGATATATACACATGGTGGTAATGTATTGATGATTGAAACTGGAAAGTGTGAATGAAATAATGGTAACATCTCCGGGAGACGGCTTAGCCGAACGGGCCGTGATCGGACTCCGCTTAAAGAAGCAGTGGCAAAGTGAATAATGATGCAACAGTGTGGGATGCTCCAATCTAAAATTTCAGAAACTATGTGAAAATCATGTGAACCTCCTTATATTGTTGACATGGTGCTTATTTGAAACTTGGTTGTCTTTATGATTTCCTCTTTATTCTTGTATGAAATTTCTTTCTAACTAGATGGTGTTTAGTTATACATACTAGTACTATTCGATGGCACTAACGTCCCTTTTGCTGGGGGCGCTATGTCTTTAAATGGATGTAGGTGTTTCTATAACAGGCAGTGTTGGTGGCAGCTAGTGCCGCATCATCCTTTCAGCTGACTTGGCGAGCCCCACTTCGTTGCGGGGTCCTGTTTCATCTGTTTATCATGTACATTATATTTGAGGTATAGCCGGATCCTTGTTGCCGGCATTTTCATAGAAATGTTCAGTTTTACTTAGAGGCTCCATAGTCAGGTTGTGGGTTGTGTTTAGTAACGGGAATTAAATTGGAAATATTGGTATTTGGGAAATATGTCTTCCTTCATATCTATAAAAATTGTTATATTTTGGATATTATGGTTGAAACTCCTAATGGAACCAAAGTGAAAGTTGTTAATGAAATATTTTCAGAGTTTGAATAATGGAGTATATCTCCTCTTAATTCAAGGATGACTTTGGGTAGAATGAAATCTAACAGGCTTGCTCAGTTGGGTTTACTCGGTTGAGTGCCGGTCGCGCTCCTCGGTTTTGGGGCGTGACACCCGCGTGCATCAGGCCATGTGCCAAGTCAAGATTATTAAGGAGAGGTTGAAAACTGCTCAGAGTCGCCAAAAGTCTTATTCGGACATTCGTCGCAGAGATTTGGAGTTCTAAGAAGATGATTGGGTATTTTTGAAGGTTTCCCCCATGAAGGGCATCATGCGATTCAGGAAGAAAGGGAAATTAAGTTCGAGGTATGTCGGACCATACAGAATCATTCAGAGGATCGGTCAGGTGGCATACAAGCTCGAGCTTCCACCCGAGATGTCGTTGGTACATCCGATCTTCCATGTGTCTATGTTGAAGAAGGTAGTGGGAGATCCGTCCACTATTGTGCCAGTTGTGTCTATTGAGGTTAATGAAGAATTATCATACAAAGAAATTCCAGTTGCCATCCTTGATAGGCAAGTCCGAAAGTTAAGAAATAAAGAAATTGCCTACGTGAAAGTGTTATGGCAAAACCAGCAAATTGAGGAAGCCACTTGGGAAGCTGAGGAAGAAATGAAAAGGAAGTACCCATGTTTGTTTGAATAGCAATAAAGTAGTTCTATGAAGCTGTATCACATGGTTAGTTTATGATAATAGTGTTTCTTTTCTAGAAATGCATTGCTTTTGGGGCCACGGTTGGCATCATTTTATATTATGTTGCATCTTTGGATTATGTATATGTTGATAGGATGTGTTTCTGGGATTCTCTGACAGGTGGATAGACCCAGTTACAAGGGAAACTCTGCCGAAATTTCTGAAATATTTGGGAGTTAGTCAAAGTTTGGGAGTTAAAGATATGTGGGAAAAGAGATAAGTTATACTAAGTATTTGTGGCTTGACTCCAATTATCATTCGAGGACGAATGATCCTAAGCGGGGGAGAATGTAAAGCCCCAGAAAATTTTGCTAAGTAATTTAAGATTTCGTGGTGCCAAGATAGGCTAATTATTTTATTTTGTGTGCAAATGAGGATTCATGATATAATGGATATCAATTGGATATGTTAATAAGCATATAAGTCTAAGCCAAGTTGGAAAATTACATGATAGACTAAAATTCCAAATGAGTACGCACAAGACCACACTTTGGACGAGAATATCTACAGATATATAAGGTTTTCGATGATGCACATCCTATCAAATGAAAGGCCTTTGTGTCTAGTTTCTAACAGGCTTGCTCAATCGGGTTTACTCGGTTGAGCGTCGGTCGCGCTACTCGGTTTTGGGGCGTGACAAAAAGTTGGTCACTACCCTATTAAAAAAAAATCCTGGAAATTAGCGACCAAGGTTGGTCGCTTATATATAAAAAAAATTAAAAAATTAAAAAGAAGCGACCAAAGTTGGTCGCTTATGAACCCAGATTGTTAAATATATATTTTTTAAAATAATATATATTTTAATTTACAGACCAACGTTGATTTTTGAATTATAATAATTAAAAAAAATATCGTAATTTAAATATACAGATCAATTTTGGTCGCTAAATTTATATTATTAAAATATTGTACCGACCAAAGTTGACGGTATTTTGTTTACACTGAACATTTGGTCCTTTTAGCTTATCGACCAAAGCGACCCACTTTGGTCGCTAAGGTAAAAGAACCACCAATATAGCGACCAAGTCTGTTTGGACACGTTTTGATCGGTATATTGAGATAAGCGACCAACGTTGGTCGCTATATATGGTCGCTTTTTACCGAATTTCTAGTAGTGAACACACAAAAACTATCTTTATATGACCATGCCCTTCAAGAATCAAGGGGAGGTTTTCCACCTACACATCGGAAAAGTGGAGTAAGTCTGAGGACTAGCTGTAGATGAGAATCCCAGACTGCTTTCATAATTCATTCTAGTATTTCAGATTAAAAATGTTACTAATAACAAAGCGCAGCAAGATTGTAAATATAGTAAAATTTATCACTGGTTACTTGACAGCCTTCATGCATGTAACCTGATTGCCATAAGCAAGGGAAAAAATAAGTTTGAGATACAACAACAACAAGGAACCAAGTGTAATCATATCTCACCAAGTGGGTCTGGGGAGGGCGGAGTATACGCAGACTGTATCCCTACTTTTGTACGAAGGTAAATAGGCTGTTTCCGATAAATTCCACCGGCTCAAAAAAATGAAAAAGAAGCAAAAACAATAAGTAGTCACCGTGCAAGCAAAAGGTGATAGATTAATCGAAGCGAAAGAAACAACATATAGTAAAAGAAATATGTTAATAAGGAGAAACGAAAATACGAGACTAGTGCTAATGCTACCGGCATGAAAAGAAATAAAGGTTGACATATTGAAGAAGATTAAGTACCAAATTTGTAAAGTTTCACTTGAACTAAGAAAATAAGTACTTCTGTCCTTCTATGATGAGAAACTAAAGCAGAAGTACCTGTTTTCTTAGTACCTTTTCCTTTGGAACTAATTTGCATCTAACTGTAGTTGACTGTAGTTATGTTATAATTTTACAATATGGGAAACTAAAAACCCAAAAAGACTATTTATAAGCTAGTCTAATTCAGGTATACTATCTAAAGCAGGCTTCCATCCTATACAATCATTCTTGATCATCTCATTGGAGCTAATTTGTTCTTTCTGAAGAGGATATTGAACTATGCCATCAACTGTTAATCCTCCTCCTTCATTCAAAAGAGCTTGCAACTCTTTCTTACTGATGACAAGCTTAATCCTTAAAACCTGATCTGAACCTTTTTTGCTACTTTCCTCAACTTCATCTGCAAAAGTAACCTTCTTGTTGACAGGTACTTTTGTTGGTGGCTCTGGTGCTAGAGGTAACACTTCGTTGTCTTTCTTCATCAGAGGTTTATATTCAAGAACTTTCCCATTTGTTTTCATTACTTTGACAATCTTTTGTTGCAAAACTATGCAATTTCCCATTGTTTTGCTATATGCTGTGTTTGTTATGGAATGATTTATAAGTTGGGTTTTTGAGTAAGCTTGTTTAGACCATACCAGTGTTCATTCAATTTATAAGGAAATAAGATACAAGAATGCCCCTAAGATTTCTGATAATTATGGAAAAACCTTTGCACTTTGGACCCCACATTGTTGATTTTGTTGTTTGTGCAATTGAGGTGATCATGATTTCTGTGAAACTCTTTTCGCACCTCGGTGAAAGAAGCGGGCCTGCTTATTTTCTTGTTTTTATTAAGTACGAAATATAAACGTGTTAAGTGCTGTAATTACTTGTCAATGGTAAAATGATTATCAGAAAACTAACTTATAAAGTATAATGGATAACAACCTTTACTCATCTAATTTATTATTAGTATATATTATTTTTTTTCTCTTTATCCTTTTGTCGTTGTACAAATAATTTACTACTCTTTAAGGTCCATAAAAAGTAATTTTTTGGGTTCTTTGTTAATAAGTATCCTTTTATATAATCAAAAAGAAATTAACTTTATTTTTTAAAAATTTGCTCTTATTTACATATTCCAATGTGTTAAGTTAACAATATGCAAATTATAATTAAGGGTCATTTACTCAAATTACCTTTTTTCTCTAGGAGTTAATATTTTCTTAAAGGATGTGTCAAATGTAAAAAAAATACTTATTATGGACGGAAGGGAGTACTATAAGTTCTCCTGTTGAGATAATGGCTATTGTTACAGCGTCAAAATCCTTACCAGACACCATTTTTACAGTGAAAGATGATGAGTTAAATCAAAATAGGACCATTGGTACTCTCAATTGACTCCTCTTCTAGTGTGGTATTGACATATTTGCTTGTTTCTTTTTGGCAGTACTATATATATATATATAACTGTTATTTTCTCCTACACGGTCGGTTTGGGCATCCTAAAACATCATTGCTTTTCTAAATTCTACGGTGATCTTGTACTTGCATGTTATAGGAAGCGTCTACTCAGAACTTGGGCTCTGACATAATATATGTGTTAAAAAATTCTTTAAATAATTAAAAATAATAGATCTTGAATCCAGTAAATCAAATGGGTCGCGATAGAATTTAATTTGGAATTCCAACCCATAACTTAAGACTCCCGAATGTGCCTCTGTTACTTCCTCTGCATCTCTTAACTGAATTTTGCTCATTTTTTTGAAACTACACTTCAAGTAACCATCCTAGATGGGTTTAAATGAAGTTTGAGATATATTCACATAATCGATACCAACTAGCTTGAGATTGAAGCTTAATTTAATCGAGTAATTGACACTTAATAACCTAACTTAATAACAATAGACAGATATGTTAAGAATACAACATATATTAGATTGATTAGTACGTACTCTTCTTGAATATATTTGCATCTTTGGCACACACCTTTTTCCCATTCCTTTAATTGTTGGATATTATCTTTTTGGCTGCACTCTTGCTCTAATTTTTCAAAAATTTTGACCTTCAAGTTGGATGCACATAGGTATGTGATCACGTCCAACTATGCCTTATAAAAGGACAATGCGGTCATTGCAAATATAATCCGGTTTACAAGTCCGGAGTCGAATCCCACAGAGAACTAAGGCTTAGCTACAATTGTTCAATATTGCTAAGAAGACAAGCTCTAACAATTCTTAAGTTATAAATATTAAGATTCTTATATCTAATTAATTAAATAATTAAATTAGTAGATTAACAACTAAAGATACTACGGGTTGGAGAGAAGATTAAGGAGGTCTAGAGTTAAGATTTCCCCAATTGTCGGAATCCTTCCCTATAATTTCGCCTAAGTATTCTCTACCGATCATGAGCACTTTGCGTGTTGTAATTCTCTCCCGAGTAATCACAACAATTTACTAGACGCACTCTCCCGAGCTACGCTAGCTGGCTTTTAATACAGCTCACTTCAGATCGCACCCAAGGCTTCGTTATCCCTAATCCCGTCTTTAAACCCTCGGTTATAGATCCCTCTTATACTTTGGGAGTGGTGTTGTTCAACAGTCACTTAAATATGCACTCTCTCCCGAGTTATGCACACTAAATAGGCACAGCTAATTGAGGATCCTGTCAATTAACTGCCACAAACACGTAGTTGAACAAATAGAGATTAAACTGGCAAACTATATTAACATAATCAAGAAGTTCATCCTTCAATAGGTTCCATCAAAACCCTAGACAAAGGATTTAGCTACACATGACAATGGGTAAATAAACTATGACAATATTCATGATCAAAATTGCAAGAAAAATAAAGAGAAGAAGAAAATATGATGTTTTGAGTGATCTCTCACACTTGTTTTTCTTGCCAAAGTACTCTTTAAAACATTACATGCCTCCTTTGGGCGAGTTCTATTGTTTAATATAGGGTTTTGGGCTAATAATCCCGTATTTTGCACTTTGGTCCCTGAAATTTACGCGTCTTGCCGCGGTCCTACCGCGGTTACGCCAGGACCGCGGCCAGAGTGGCCTTCAGAATCTGCAACAGTGTTCTGCCGCGGTCCTACCGCTGTTACGGTTTCGACTGCATTTTTTCACACTGTTCCGTTTGGAATTTGGAAAAACGTAAAACATGAAAGTTGTATCCCTTTGAGTTAGCTTTCCAACCATATATTGAGGAGCCCAAATGGAGTTTTGAGCAAAAAGGTATGTGCATTTTACTAGACAATGCACAATATGCCTACTCGAGTCTTCGTTTTGTTGTTTTATCATCCGTTGATCCCCGAATACGATCCCGGCTTAATTTCTTGGGCTTTTAATCAGACTTCAAAGCTCCAANCAGAATTATCACAGTAAATTTTCAGCGGCTTGGTAATGGTGTCGACAACCCCAAGTCCTGAAATAAAGTTTCGCAGCCATAATGCATGAATTGTGGCCTCAAAACATGCCACAAATTCTGCTTCCATCGTGGATTAATGTTGCACTGTGGGCCGGGTCTGAACCGGACCGGGCTCGCGGTCCTAACGGGCCTGGTGGGCCGGTCCTAACGGTCTCTTAAAGCCCGAGGCGGGCTGGTCTTCAATGTTAAGCCCACGAGCCCGGGACCGTTTAGCCCGGGACCGGCTGGCGGGCCTGGTCCGGGCCCAACGGGCCTAGCTGGTCTAACGGCTATAATTTTAAAAAAAAAATTAAAAAAAAAACAGCCCTACGGCCATATTTAAAAAGTAGCCGTTTGGGGCTTTTTTTGACCGTTTGGTAGTTTATAAAATAGCCATTTGGCCCCTAAACTTTATATAATTACACTTTTCCCCATTTCTCAACTATAAATATTCCCTAATTCTTTCATTTTTACTCACCAATTTATCAATCTCTCTCAATCTCTCTCAATCTCTCTACTAGAATTGCTTATTTTATTGTTGAAACTTCGTGAAAAATTGTGAAGTTAGTGAATTGAAGTCTTCAAGTCTTCAACGATTTTCAATTTTCAAGAAGTTGTTCGACAATCCGGTAAACTCGTTTCAACTCTTAAGTTTTAAGAATATATTTTTGTGTGTTTTAGTTTGCATAATTGTAATTAATATGGCATTTTCTTTGAAAAAAATATTTGGTAAGGGAAAAGATAAAACCGGTGAAAGTAGTGGCCAACCAACTACCCTTCCCCCGGCTCCCCGACCTAGAAAAGATAAGCAAGTTGAAAGTAGTCGCCAACCTAGACGTCCTCCTCCTCCCGTAATTCTTGATAGTGATCACCCTTGTTTTCAATTTACCGATAGTGAATTTTGCCATAATGGTGCCCCAGGTGAAAGATTAGATGATGAAATTATGAATG